CAAAAGCGGTTACCAGTAGTTATCAACATTCACCACTACGCAAAGGAGATCATGGACGATAGCGGTTACAGCCCCAACAAACAGCACGATCACAAGCAATCGTGGATAGTGAGCATCAACAGTTGAAGGCAGTTACTAAGAAGTGCCCGCAAAAGGAGGAAAACGGTGGTGATCTTCATGTCTATAAATACTCCAAAGTACTATTTCACAAAGGACGACTTTTTGCACCCAGACACCGCATATAAACTCTCTGAGATGCTGAAACCCTGCACCGCGCCAGACACCAGCTACAAGGAGACTCACGGTGGCCGTTGTTCGCCGTTGTGAGGAGTCGTACGTTTACATTTCAGCATATTTACATTCCAGTACCTTTACATTCTGCATTTCAATTCAAGTCTCTTCGTTTGTCTGCTTTTGTTCTTGTTTCTGCAATTCATTTCTTATTTCATACTTTTCTGTAATGAACCTCTATGTTTGAGTCAATTCTGTATGTTTAATATTTACTATTCTTGCTAAATTGCTGAATTTACGCGTCTATTTTACCGTTATGTTAACAACACACTTAAAAGAACCCAAAGAGGACCTAAATCTAGTCCTCAAATTGATCTTTGGATTATTTGTTTACAACTGTCATTTTTCACCGTAAATACTATATTGTTTTATTGGATCCCTTTTAAGACTATGATTAATTTAGAAGAGAAAGTGAATAATAATTGTTTTCTTTATAATATTTTATTTTATTTTATTATTTTCCTCTCATATTTTTTTATATATTTTTAAAATATATTAAATATTTTATATATTATCAAAATTTAAAAAATATATTAAATAATTTACATATTTTTAAAATTAAAAATAAATAATTTATATAAAGTAAAAAAATAAATTTTAATTAGTAAATATAAATAAATAATAATATTTATTATTTTTTACATTTTTATGCCATATTTTTTTTTTCTATTAAGTCTATATTTTTCTCTTATCTTACCAATCTTGATTTTATCTCAATACAAGTATTTGTAGATAAAATTATACTCAAGTTTCAGAAAATACACCCTAAATTTTACCTTATCTTGATAGAATTATTATATTAAATTATAAATTTTTTTAGTTACATGTTTTAAAATTAAATTAATAAAAATAATCAAGTTACTTAACTTCATCTTTAAAATTAAAATTTATAAAAAAATAACCGTTTATCTTTTATGTTTGAATATTTTTTTGATATAATAATTATAATAAATCAAGAGAACTAACGTTTTTTTTATTTTTACATTTAGATTCTAAAAAGAGTACATTCAATAAAATTATATATAATACAATTATATACTATAAAATAATATATTAGTAAAAATTTAAATGAAATATTATATATTAATATATAATATGCAGGTAAATAGTATAATACCCATATTCTTACTCTATCCGTGTTTGAACTTATTGAATAGATAATTAACCTGACTATTATAAATATTTCTTACGAATACTTATCAAACAATATACACATTGTCATCCTTGTGATGTAAAATCTCTCTTAGATAACTTTTAATTTTGGAATAGCCAAATTCCCAACACTTTTTCATTTCTTCATCATTAGCTATATAAATTTTAAAACTTAAACAAAGAAAGATAAAGCGATACTTTGTAATTATTAATAAACCTTTTTTTATGATATAACTTGTTGTTTTTGTCATAATTAGAATGAACTTTCAACTCATTTTTTAACGTATTTAATTTTATTTTAAATTTGATATTTTATTGCGCGTTGACTTTAATTTTAATTGATTTTGTCTTCAGATTTATCGATCTACTTGCTTTTTTAGGTTGATGTTAGTTATAGTAAAAGAGAAAAGATATATTTATTAATTGTTTAGGTAAATACAATATAATTTTTGTTGTTATATAAAAATAGAATTATATTTTTTAATAGTGTTTTAGATGAAATAAAAGTCTTAGATTATATTATTCTGAAGTCCTGAAAATAGCTATTACTTATTAATAAAGAAAAAACTACTTTGTTAGCTGATTGTTATTTGAACATACGAAATTGTATTCATCTTAACTATGTATAAGTATGTTTTAATTTTTTATTTTCCTGTAAGTATTAGTTTTTTTCTCTGTGTACATGAATTTTAAATTCTCATTGAATTGTTTCTAATAATATATATTTTATTTATAAAAAAATTAATAAAACTTATTTTTTATTTAATCTTATCTCATAGCGTTTGATTTATGTGTAATGAAAACATAATGCAACAAAATTCACGTTCAAGATATAAACAGCATGCATGTAATTTTATAATAGAAAAAATTTATTATATTTTTAATTGAATATTTATTATCAATTGAAATTTATATAAAACTATCATAAAAAAAGTTTATATACAACTCATTAAATAAAACAAGTGTCAATTTATACGCGATAAACTTTACATATAATCTAATTAATTAGGATATTTTAAAACTTCTTGTTTTAGGGAACTTGGCTCGACGATAAATTGGACAGGGTAATGGAAAATTGAATGCTTTCAATAATAATTGGAAAGGACCATTGGAGTAAGGTTCCACCTGTGATACTAAAGATTCCTTAAACAAGTTTAGAGGAATAGAGAAGTAAAGCAAAGAAAAAGGGGACTTTTAAAAAATATATATATGATTTTTTTTTCTATAAAACTTAAGAAGTACGTCCAAAAGAAGTTGTGGAGGACTTTTAATATTTTTAACCTTTTTTTTCTATAATGATTCCTTAAAAATATATTTATTTATTTATTTCAATTTTTTCTTTTCTTAAATTAAACTCATAAACAAAACTTAAAAAGACATGTTATTCTGTAAAAAGAAAAGATATGTTCTTTTAATCTTAAACAAAAGCAAACAACTGCCTTCAAATCACATGTTTAATTTGAAACGAAAGGGCGCTACTTTGCGATTCCTTTTATTTACTTACAGAGTCTCTCTTTTTCTTTTTTCACATATCCTCTTAATATTCATACTTAAATTTCTGATAAAAGTGATGAGCAAAAAAAGGAATAAAATAAAATAAAACAACTACTCTTTATCCATGGAAAAGAATTTAGCACAATGAGTTTAACTTATTGCTGGAAAATATATGTATGAATGTGAAACAGTAATATTAGTTTATTAATTTTAAAAAATTACTTTAAGTTATCCAATTAATTTGTTATTAATCTAATCTGAATATGTTTAATTATTTGCATTTTGAATAAGCATCATAAAAATACCGCATTTATAAATATAGTTTGGGATTATCCACAATCAAAAGAATTTGTTGTGCATACTTAGCAAAAAGAAATTATTTATTTTAAATAAGATAGTTAAGAGTAAAAATTAACTAAATTTTGTTAGGAGAATTTAGTAAAACCATTATTTATTGATTAATCACAACGAAAGATGCTGTCAAAAAGTTTATTTTTCATTGACACGTAAATAAAGAAAACAACAGTTCTCCTCGACACTTTCCTTATTTGGTTTTTTTTAAAAAATGACAGATAAAGTAAGGGAATGAAGATTATTATATTTCCATTAATTTAGTTGAAAAAGAGAGTAGAAAAGATGAAATGAAAGTTATTTTGTTTGTCCAAGAAGAATTAATAAATTATTGCATGTTTTTAATTATTAACGAAGGAAAGCATATAACAAATAAAATTAAGGATAGTTTTGTTAATATAAGTCAAAAGTTATAAATATATATCTTTTATTTAATGCTTATGATTTATTTATATGAGAGAAAGGAAAATAAAATTGAAAAATAATAACGATATAAATATATTTTTTTATCTAATAGAATAATAAAAACTGTATATTAAAATTTAAAAATTATTTTTTGCTAAATTTTTTGTTATATATTTTTCCTTTAATTTAAATTTACATTTCCCCTTTTTCCTTATTTTTTTTCTTCGAAATATGTAGAGAAAATAATGAAATAAGCGGATTTTCACTTCTTTATATTTCCTCTTTGTCTTCTTTCATTTTTTCAAACAAACAATTCAAAATAAAAAAATACCTTTTCAATGTCATTCATTAAAATTTACACAAGTACAATCTCTAAAAAGGATCAACTACGTGAAAAAGGATTATTTTATTATAAAATTTAAAAATTTAGAGAATAAAGCGTATACACATAAACCTTGAGGGAATAAATTAACACGGATTATTGTTTTCATACTAATATTGTATATCTGCTGTTATTTTAAAAAAATGAAAAAATGAATTTAAATATAAAATATAATACGGTAATAAAAAAATAAAATATATTTAAATAATGGAATATTCTCTTCCAAGCTGGATTTTGCATAACAGAAAAAATGTAAACAAGTGTTTGTCATATTCTTAGTATCAAGGTGAAATAAACAATTAACTAATAACGTTCTGCTAAAAAATTAATTAACTGATCTACTGCTAATATTAAAATACTCCCGATGCAATCTTATGCATATCTAATGACATAAGTGAGTTTTATATGTAATGTCATCATATGCTAAATTATTTTATTATAAAAATATTTTAACTAAAAAGCAGTTTTTCATAATAATAAAACAAGAAGAAAATGCTACTGACTTGTTAACGATGTTTGATAGATGTATTGAATATTAAATGAGATAAAATATATAGTTAATATTAAGTATTAAAGGTTTTTATTAGAAAAATAATTTTACAAAATGTTATATAAAAATAAAATTAATTAATAACGTATTACATTACTTTATTTTAAAAGATACTATAAGATGATTTTATAGTAACTCAGTTAATCATACATTTAACAAAAAAATTATTAAATAATGTTAATATAAGTCACTTGATGTAGCTTTTATATATATAATGTTTTACGGAAGTAGAACAGAACAAAATGTTTATTCATGCACCAATCGTTACCATCATGTCACTCTGTGTCATTGAAAAGTATCTACACAAATAATTGTAAAATAAAAGATAAGAAAAGATTTAAATAGTGGAAGATGCAGGTGTAATTCTGATTTTGTAATACAACATTGACATTGTCAAAGAAACCCGCGATGGGGAGTATGCAGGAATCAGATCCTTTAATTACACACTACTAAAGAGATAAAGATGAAAACTCCATCTGGGTCCCTACTGTCCCTTTTAGTTGTCCTTTTCCAAACCCAACTGTACCTCCAATGATAGAATTTTCCCCAACTGTTTCAACAAACACAAGCTAGCCTGGAGTGGAGACTGCTTTTGTATACAACAGTATACCTTGAGCTAAATTTGCCAGAAACAGTGAGTAAATATGTGTCTGTACGTATATTGATTGTATATTTATGCATTGACTTCTTATTTTAGTATTATTTTAAGAAAAGGTACTCCTATTTGTACTGGTGCGTTTCTCACTTCTACAAATGTTGGGTGTTTGTCTCAGTTCAGACTAGAGAGACACCAAGAAGAATCATAGAGATGAATCACAGGGTGGAGAGGACGAGGCTGGTTAAAGGGAGGGTGGTTTTGATGAAGAAGGGTGTGTTGGATTTTCATGACATAAAAGCCAACGTTCTTGATCGAATTCATGAGTTATTGGGCAGGGGTGTTTCTCTTCAGCTCATTAGTGCTACTACTCCTGATCCAGGTCCTATTTCTCTCTCTCTCTCACTCACACTTAACCATAAACTACATGAGAGAATGTGCACAAAAGCTATGATTTGTTCATGAGAGGAAGAAGAGTCCACAAAGACCAGAAAGTGTATTTTTTGTTACTTTAGCAGATCCAATGACTAAAATTTTGTGTTTTGTATGTTATTATAGCAAAGGGGCTAAGAGGGAAGCATGGAAAGGTTGCATACTTGGAGAGATGGCTTTCAACCATTTCCTCTTTGACAACAACAACAGACACAGAGTTCTCTATTACATTTGAGTGGGATGAGAGCATGGGAGTTCCAGGGGCCTTCATGATCAGAAACCATCATCATAGCCAGTTCTACCTCAAAACAGTTACCATAGAAGACATTCCAGGGTATGGTCCTGTGAATTTTGTTTGCAATTCTTGGGTCTACCCTGCTCATCGTTACAAGTATGATCGTGTCTTCTTTGCCAACAAGGTAATGACTAACTTCTTTCAAGGTCCAAAGGTTATTTTCTCTATTGCTTTTCTGGTTTAGTCTTCCCTTATGGTCAAAAATTCTAAATTCTTAAAATTGTAAACAAAACTATAGAGAACTTCGTGGCAGATAAAAAAAATGTATTCAAAACTATAGAAGACAATAATAGAACAATGCTGATAAAAAAACAAAAGAAAAAGAACTATGTGATTATAATATTTGAAATTGAAATTATTGATTTTTTTAAGATTAAATATGTAAATTTTTCTTATAACTTTTAATACATTTAATAAAAAAATATTTTAATTTTTAACTAATAGCTTTGGAAGGTCCCGAAACTTTATTATTACTCTTAAATAATCTTGCTTCTATTTTAGTGGCATAGTTAAAGCTGTCATGCCCAGATAAGCATGTCATCACTTCTCTCTTGCCTGAATAGCCTGAATAATCAATTTTCTTCGTACACTGAGTTTTGATTATGTTATAGATATCACGAATTTGACCGTACAGTATTTATGAATAATTATTGAGTTTTGTTAATTTTATTCTTTATGACTGACTTTAAACATTTTAAAAAGATAATTTTTATTGAAAAATGCATTTATTATAAAAATATAATATATATATATATATATATCTTTATAATTTTATTATTTTTAATTTTACAACTTTAATTCTAAAAAGTGAGATTAATATTTTTATAATTAATTATTATTAGTTCTAATAATTTGCAGTATTGTCTTCAACATTTTGCATGTGCCTTTACTGACAAAAGGTTGTTGGACCGACGCGAATCTCCGAAAGGGATTGGCCGTAATATTTAATTCTTAATTATAAATTCTTATTAAATTTACTGCGTGAATGAAATTATATTATTATTTTTAAATAATTAATATTAGTAAATTTTATTAAAAATGAAAGTATTTATTATTTTTATAATTTTAATATAATAAATATATATTTTTATAAAAAAATCCAAAACTAAAAACTAGGTTTACCAAACACAAAATTTATACTAAAAATTTGTCTAATATTACTTTCATCAGTCCGTATAATATAAAGTTAAGTTTAGGGTTTGTCTAAAATACACATATAGTTTATAAAGTATTTATTAGTTACAAGCTAAACTCTATTAAAAAGTAGGTAAGGGTGAGAAATTTATGACAATATTTTTATAAAATTATATTGACTAATATTTTTCAATTTTATTCAATTTTAAAGATAAGCAAAAGAAATCTATGTATAGATATAAAATGATGAGATAAAATATTAAAAAAATTATTATATCAATATTTAGATATTTTATTAAAATATAAAACTTAGAAATATTAAATAAAATAAAGTAAATATATCTCGACTCATTCTATTTTTAAAGAATTTAATTAAAATGGATAGATAATATAATTTTTTTATATTGTTATTCAATCATAGATTATTAAAATAAGAATTAATTTGATTTAGAAATCAAATTTTTTGTTTCGAATTATTATACAATATGGAATTTGGATTCATATAAAATTAAAATTTATCTTTAAAATTTATTAAAAATAAAATAATTTTTATATAATTATGCTATTTAATGAGACTGGTATAGTTAATCCATTTAATTAAATTTAAAATAAGATCAATACCTTTAAAGCCATAATATTTCAAAACAATAAATAACTTCTTATTTTTAATAATTTTGAAACACAATTTTTATTTAAAAATAAGTCAAAACCTACCCTTTAACGTTTTAAACGCATTTACAGAATGAAATAGTTAAATCAAATCAAATGACGACGAATGTTAAATGGAAAGAGCAGCTTATTGGATTTGTTTATGAGCACAAAACCCATAAGCAACAAGGATATTGCTTTTACTTTAGGTTTTAGAAACACCTTTGCAATTCAAATAATTTCACAGCTCTTAGCGTGTATAGAGCTTGAGAGGGAAGAAAAGAATACAAATGGAAGAGAGAAAAGATGGAAAAATTATTGGATGGCGCAGAGTTCAGACACTCCTAACGTAAAAGCAATTGATGAAACAATTGTAAAGAAAGAAAAGAAAAAGACTTAAATGTATATTTTAATTTTTATAAATATGATTAAATTGAATATAATATTTATAAATTTGAAAATTTGAAAATTCTGAGTATCTAGATGGGTATCGTTGATAAACACATGAATAATATTTGTGATCTTGTAAATGTCTTGCGCATACTTGAAAGTTGAAACAACTTGGGTTTGTGATTCAGGCTTATCTTCCGAGTGAAACACCAGAGCCACTGCGCAAGTTCAGGGAAGAAGAATTAATAGTCCTCCGAGGAAAAGGGTACGGAAAACTTTATGAATGGGACAGAGTGTATGACTATGCATACTATAATGATTTGGGAACCCCAGATTCCGGTCCTGACTATGCACGCCCTGTTCTTGGAGGATCACACTTTCCATATCCTCGCAGAGGAAGAACCAGTCGTCCACATACCAAAACAGGTTAGCAACTAAACTACGTTGGAATTGGACTAATGCCAATAACACTCACTTATAGTTTTATTTAAGGGTGCCAAGAATTCACAATGCTATGAGCCTGTCATATGGAAAACAAATATAAATGAAAAAATGTTCTCTTCAGTTGATAAAATTTTATCATTTTTAGATGGTTAAAATCAATTGTACATACTGATGTTGACATAACCGTTATTTATCAACGGATGTCTTCAAGCTGCCTTAGCAGTATTCTCTTGCAAAATTTTCAATGGTGACAAATGAGTAATCTGATTGTGTCATGGTTGCAGATCCCAAAACAGAGTCAAGATTGCATCTTCTAAATCTAAACATTTATGTTCCGAGGGACGAACAGTTTGGGCGTGTAAAGTTTTCAGATTTTCTAGCTTATTCGCTTAAATCCGTTGCTCAGGTTTTGCTTCCAGAGCTTAAATCTGTGTGTGACAAAACTATTAATGAGTTTGACACCTTTGAAGATGTACTTGATGTTTTTGAGGGATGTATTAAGCTGCCAAGTGGACCTATAGCTAATAAACTTAGAGAGCTTATTCCCTATGAGCTGCTGAGAGAACTTGTTAGGAATGATGGTGAGAGATTCCTTAAATTCCCAGTGCCTGACGTCATTAAAGGTATTATAATAATAATGTTTTTCTCTTATTTCTCCTGGTTTGGATGCACTAATTGGTCTGCTTTATTATTAATTTAATGTTAATTTAATGTTTGTAGCGAGCAAGACTGCATGGAGGACAGACGAGGAATTTGGAAGAGAAATGCTTGCTGGGGTTAACCCTGTTATCATTCGCCGTCTCCAAGTACTAAATTAAACAGAACTAACGACGATTCATAGTTTTACTAGTGATGTAAAAAAGAGTCATCATCACTTTATCTTTGAAATTATAAGTGTAATCCATTTTAACCTTTAAATTAATAAAAGTTTCCCTTTAGTCTTTAATTTTATAAAAATTCTTTTATTTTAGTCTTTAATGCTAACAAAATATACAATGAAAAAGGATTAAAATAAGACTCTCTTAAGATTAAGGACTCAAGTGAGTAACGCTTGCAACTCATGATCAAATTACTCAAATTTATGTCATTGCAAGTAACTTAAACCTAAATGCCACATGCAGGAATTTCCCCCAGCCAGCAAGTTAGACCCAAGAGTCTATGGAGACCAAACAAGCTCCATCAGAGCAACGCATATAGAAAATAGTTTGGATGGGTTCACCATAGATGAGGTACTAATCGGGATTCTCTTGTGCCTTGACCATAGTTTTATGTAAATGAAGCCAAACCCATATTCAAATTAATATGCTGCTACGTTTTTATCTTGCAGGCGCTTCAACAAATGAGGCTATTTATATTAGATCATCACGACGCATTGATGCCATATATAAGTCGAATAAACTCTACCAACACAAAGACTTATGCCACTAGAACACTCCTGTTTCTACAAGATGATGGTACATTGAAGCCGCTGGCTATTGAATTAAGCTTACCCCATCCACAAGGGGAACAACATGGAGCTGTCAGCAAAGTTTTCACTGCAGCACAAGAAGGAATAGCGGCTACAGTGTGGCAGCTGGCTAAAGCTTATGCAGCTGTGAATGATTCAGGATATCATCAACTGGTTAGCCATTGGTATGACATCCACAAAAGTAATCTCTATAGTAGCAAGGTGTTTCAGACTTAATAACGAGAAAGCTATGACTCTTCTGCAGGTTATACACCCATGCAGTGATTGAACCATTCATAATAGCCACAAACAGACAGCTCAGTATTCTTCACCCAATACACAAGCTCTTGAAGCCACACTTCAGAGATACAATGCATATAAATGCCTTAGCTCGGCACACTCTCATCAATGCTGGAGGAGTGCTAGAGAAAACAGTTTTCCCTGGTAAATTTGCCTTGGAAATGTCAGCTATTATTTACAAAAGCTGGGTATTCACCGAACAGGCACTGCCAGCTGATCTGCTCAAGAGGTGAATTCAGAAACATGAGTCACAAAATGGCCTTCTAACGTGGTTTTGAACAAAAAAAAAATTGTATTTATTAATTCTTTAACCAGAAACTGATTATTAAGACCTTATTATGATTCTATTTGATTGAATTTCAGGGGGATGGCAGTTCAAGATTCAAGCTGCCCTCATGGACTTAGACTTGTGATAGAGGATTATCCATTTGCTGTTGATGGGCTAGAAATATGGGAAGCAATACTAACATGGGTGACCGAATATTGTAACTTCTATTACACCTCTGATGAGATGGTTGAGAGTGACACTGAACTCAAGAATTGGTGGAAAGAACTCCGCAATGAGGGTCATGGAGACTTAAAAGATAAGCCATGGTGGCCAGAGATGAAGACAAGAGAGGAACTGATTCAATCATGCACCATTATCATATGGCTGGCTTCTGCATTCCATGCAGCTGTAAACTTTGGACAATACCCTTTTGCTGGATACCTCCCTAACCGTCCAACAGTGAGTCGTAGGTTCATGCCTGAGCCAGGTACCCCAGAGTATGAGGAGCTTAAGACAGACCCTGATTTGGCATTCCTTAAAACAATCACTGCACAGTTCCAAACACTCCTTGGTGTGTCCCTGATAGAAGTTCTATCTAGGCACTCAACTGAAGAGTTTTACCTTGGCCAGACCGATAACCCTGACTGGACTTTGGATGCTGAACCTTTGGCAGCATTTCAGCGGTTTTCACAAAGGCTTATGGAAATTGAGAACAATATTATGGAAAGGAACAAGGATAAGAGATTGAAAAACAGGAATGGCCCTGTCAAAATGCCTTACACTCTTCTCTATCCCAATACCTCCGATTATTCTAGAGAGGGTGGACTCACTGGGAAGGGAATCCCCAACAGTATATCCATCTAAAATTGCTATGCCACTTTCTATGCTCTTTTGTAGTCCTAGCCAAGGATTTTGTGTGTCAAATAAACAATTCTAGCATGTATCGTGACTGCTTTTGCAGCAATTTTTTTCATTGTTAGTAATGCCAAGACCAGAGTGATATAATTTATTACCATATTAGTTGTCTTTAAATTACTAATATCAATTGGTTCAGCTCATTCAGTAATACCTTTTTAATTGATTCCTGTTACAATTTTGGGAATGGAGAAATAAGGATTGGTTGACACGTTACAGGAAGAAAACGGGAGAGAGAGGAGGGAATATATTAACAGCTTAACCCTTGTGCCAAAAACGGCGATCTATTTTATTGGTTCATAGCTTTTTTTACACAATTTCAAATAATTCTTTCAAAATTTATTTAAATTTATCTTATTAAATAAATGCGTAAACTACGTATGAGGTTAAACTTAAGTAAATGACCTGGATAGTATTTGTTTCAATTTTTTCTATTCCTTTCCTTGTAAAAGTAGACATCCATTCAATTAGCTTTTATAGATATTTAATTTTTTTGAGCTTTTGTTCATTGAAAAAAGTTACTTTTATTTTGAAGAGTTTTTTTTAAAAATTGTTTGATCTATTTTCTATTTTAAGGAAGAAAAAGAAATATGAAAAATGAACTAAAACTTTACAGCTAAATTTATTAAAATAAATTATAAATTGTCATATAATAAACTCGAAAAGAACAAACCTTTTGTTCACTTTGCAAGTTCGTCAAATTAACTTATTTTACATTTATATTAGCAAAGAAGCAGCAAATATTTGTTAAGAGATAAATCGGATTGCAATAAGCAGAGTTTATCTAAATTAGTTATGATTTATATTTGGTTTATCAAAAAATGGAATTGATTACTTTATGGAAGCTCGAATAATTTTTTTTATCTCAAACTCCTTTTTGTAAAATTATAATTATTTGTGTATAATGATTTTAATAATATATTTGGATCGAAAATTTCGTCAAACATAACTCTAAAATTTACATTAACATGATCTTTTTAAACGATTACTCATTGACTACAGTTGTTTTAAAATTTAAAATAATTATCCAATTAACTATAAGTTTATATAATTTTATGTGATGAAAAATAAAATAAAAAATCAACGCAAGCAGTTGAGAAACAATTTATTTTGAAAAAAGATATTTGAAAATCCTTTAGAACGGGCCTAAGGAGCATGAAGCTCCATGAATAAGAGGTGTGAGGCTTGGGTGAGAGATCAAATCAAAATCTTACATTTTAATTGGTCAAGCGATATCACCTTATCCATATCCACATCCACACCACACATCCAAAAACTCTTACAATCAATCTACTTTACTACCTTTCCTTTTGTTTCCAATTGATCTCTCACAGCCAAACACACTCCCCTCACAATCTCTCTACGAATTACATCATCATGGCCATGGCAACCCAAGCCTCCCTCTTCACCCCACCTCTCTCTGGTCCCAAACCAAGTGACCGTGTCTCTGTGGCATGGAAGCAAACATCGAGCCTGTCATTCACCGGCCCCAAACCCCTCCTCAAGTTCACAAGAACAATCAAAGCAGCTGCAGATGAGACAACAGAGGCACCACCAGCAAAGGAAGAGGCACCAGTGGGCTTCACCCCACCTCAATTGGACCCAAACACTCCCTCCCCAATCTTTGCTGGCAGCACTGGAGGGCTTTTGCGGAAGGCCCAAGTGGAGGAGTTTTATGTTATCACCTGGGACTCTCCTAAAGAACAAATCTTTGAAATGCCCACTGGTGGTGCAGCCATCATGAGAGAGGGTCCCAACCTCCTCAAGTTGGCTAGGAAGGAACAGTGCTTGGCTCTTGGGACTAGGCTTAGGTCTAAGTACAAGATCAAGTACCAGTTCTACAGGGTCTTCCCCAGTGGAGAGGTTCAATATTTGCACCCCAAGGATGGTGTCTACCCAGAGAAAGTCAACCCGGGTCGCCAAGGTGTTGGCCAGAACTACAGGTCTATTGGTAAGAATGTGAATCCAATTGAGGTCAAGTTCACTGGCAAGCAACCCTACGATTTGTAAGATGCTCAATTTCGTATATTCTGTTGTGATGTACCTATGATTAAATTTATGTCACAAATGTTAAACTCTGTACCTTTATCTTTCCAGCTGTTTTCTTTTCCTATTTTATGATTGTTCTGTCGACCGCATGTTTTGGAATGTTAATTTGCTTCCGCTTCATCAAACGTATGCCTGAGTAGTGGATACCAAAACCCAACGAGGATAGGTTGCGCAAGAGTAAGGATTTTATGATCAATGATTCTATATGAATGAATCCAATATTAAATAACGAATGGAAGGAGTACTCACAACAAATTCCTATTCTTTCCCTGGGCTTCTTGTAGAATCATCATTCGAGTTACCAGCTGCAACTGAGAAGCCTAGTTAACCCTATTCGCTTAAGTAAAATCCTAGAAGACAGACATTTAGTTTGAATTTATGCACATTTTATTCACATATTTTTTTACATCTTAAAATTTTGATCTTTTTTCTCTTGGTACAGTGGGAGTAATGAAGTTTGATTTTCTTAAGGGAAAAAAAAGAGAGGGACTATTCCGTAATAGAAAAACTAGTTAAAATATCTTTCATAAGGGCTTACGAAGATATTTTAAAAATTATAAAAGTTGAACCAAATCTCAAATCATATACAACAAATATTAACATATCTACGACCATGCTATAGGCTAACCATTTAAAACATCTACAATAATGTCTTAATGTGTTAAAACTTGCAAATAAATTTCAACAAGGCAATTGAATTGCACCAAATGACTAAGATTTGGAATAAATCTTATACAAAATTTTCTTTTTATATGTTTGTCTCAATTTTAATATGTTATTCTTTTTTAAAAAATTCAAAACGAAATATCGTTTATAAATTGAGTTACATCTCAAGTCAAAATTAAAAGTTTTAACGTAGTAGTAAAAAAAATAAATTACCTGCTATACTTTAAGAGTTATTGGTGCTATTTATTAATTAAAATTAAAATTATAATCGATTAATAGCACCGACAAAATTTAGAAAACTGTACCCTTTTTTTTTGTTCTATCAAAAGAAAACAAAATTTTTAATAAATAAATACTATGCAAGTAATAATAATAATAAAAAAAGACTCAAGGCAAAATTTGGACTACCCAATACTAAGCCAAGTTATCCTATCAACTCGTGCAACTTATCCGAGACTATTAGAGATGGAGTCTAACCTTCTATTTCCCAAAAGATATTGAGTCACAGTAGTGCGTTAATCTATTAGCCTGCTTTTAGATTAAGATGGGCTAAGCCGATCATTAGGTTATCCAATTCAACTTGGATTGGATGCAATTATTTAATTTAATGCTTTTTACTTTATATTACTCTAAAGAGTTTATATTCTTGTTAAAAAAAATGGTGAAGAGCTTATATGAATTAATTGGTCTGTTTCTGATTGTTTAAAATTAGAATTTTAATAAGTCACTATAATTAATAACAAAGAAATTCGAATAATGAAGTTTGAAGCTAAGATCTTAGATAAATTACTCAATTTATTCTTTATAATCCAATTCTAGTGACTTCTTGATATTCCAGTTTTTAAACTAAGAATACAAACTCTTGACTTAAAGTAGTGTAAAGTAAAAAGTATTAAATTTAATAATATGCTTGCCAGTTGATTTGGATAACTTAGTAGTTGGCTTAGCCCATCTTAATCCCAAAGCAGGTTATTATATTAGCCCACTATTGTGTCTCATCTCAATCCTAACAGTAGTAGTAGCTGTAACATATAAAATAATTGACTAAACAAGAAACATGAGAATTTAATTGAAACAAACTGAAAAGACTAGTAAGTTGCATTTGACATAAAGATGACAATTATTAAAATAGGAATGGGAAATATATGCGATGAAATGCACATCCACATGGCAAAGTATAAAACGTAGAATTGCAAGTAAACGAATTTATTGAGCAAAGAAATCGTACATTCCTAAATTCCGGTGGTGAAGCTGACGAGACGCCAAAAGTTTGTGCGATAATGTGTGCCTTTCAACCTCTTACTACGTCTTCTCCTTCCTTGTTCCTACAAAACCAATTAACGTTAAATTCAAAGGATTTTGACAAGCACTATAACGAACTAATGTTAAAATTAACTGTTTATTTAAGATATTAAAACTCAACCACAATATCTTTTCATATTATAACGAACTAATGTCCCTACTCCGGTCATCCTAATTTTTTGTTTGAAACTTCAAATCACAACTTTTCCTAATTCAAACATGTATTCTTATCTTTATATCTCTCATTTGCTTTTTAAATTCAATGGTTAATAATACACCAACGTATGGTTAATATAATACATTTTCCTCCGTTTGTTTATCTTTCTTTAAACATTCTTTTGATGTAGAATTGCAATATGCATCCAGGTTCGAAATGTCACAAGATACTTATTTTTCAAAAAATTGATCTCTACAATTTTTGCTGTAAAATATTTGTGTGTGTGTGGAGGATATTTTGGTTCATAAATTACTTATTTATTTTTATCATATAGGAGCTTATAGGATTGCACAACAAACCCTAATTAGACTACACTGCATAGAGTGTTTAAGTGAGAGTTTTTAAAGATAATACGAGAAGAAGACATTTTTTTATTTTAGATTAAAATAATTATGTTATTTATAATAATAAACACATTAAATATATATTAATATATTTTTATTTTAAAAATTATTAAATTAAAATATATTTATTTAAAATAAAAATTTTGCATTTTCCTTTCTTTCCTTCCAAATTTTACCTTCAAATTAAAGACAATTACTTAAACTACTATAATTAGCACTGAATTTTCTAACTTCATAATTTTTAAAATTCCTATATAATTCTTTTTTATTCTGTATAAAATACCACGCAAAATGTTTTAGTTATAAAATCTTCATCATAACGAACGGAAAACTTTTATCGTTATAGTGCCGGTGTTATTGGTATTGATTCTCAAGTTTTCAAAATTTAATATACTTTTCCTAAATCCAAACGATTTATATTTTTTAACCTATTTATTTAAGTTAATTATACACTTTTTGAAATTTTAAATATTTTATTTATATTTTTGAGAATTTACTTAAATTAAAAGATACCTGTGTTCTTATTATGAACTTAGATTTGGCTAACATAAATATATAATAAAAAAAATGTAACAATGAGCATATTCTTTATTTTTTTTCCCTGTATGACACACGTGCTAGACATGCAATTATACTATTACGCAAGAGAATGTTAATAAATTTTGAATATATTTATTAAAATATTTTTTAATTTTAATTAAAATTTATTAAAAATAGAAAACGTAAGTCCTACTCGTAATTTAATCCACTTCACGTGTAGTCTTATAATATTTAATCAATTTAAATTAATAATTTAAAGTGTGTTTAAAAAGGTATATTAAAGTCTGTTAATGGCACTTCTCTATTATATAATTTACCAACTAAAAATGTTTTGATTGCAAATTCTTTAGAAAATTTCTTTCACTCCATTAATCAATTGGTACATCCGTGATTTTCTTTAGTAAGATTTTGAATCGGTACAAAATTATAGATGTAAAGGCTAAAAAAAAAAAAAAAAGGGTTCCAAAGGCACTACTCAACGCGAGTCTCTCTTTTTTAAGTATGTATTTAGCATGGTTAATGGGGAAAGAGACTTACAATAATCAAAAGGAAATATATGCAAATAGAAATGAGAGATACACAAGATGTGCCATCCTCTACTTTTAAATTCTCCCAACTTATGCATAAAAAAAATCTTTAATAGCATATTCTTTGGAATGTTACTTTCAACATCTTTTTTTACAATTAAATAAAATTTATATAAAACCCATTAACTAAAAAGATGGATCTATATTACTTAGAAACTCATAAAATTTACTATTGCCGTGAAATGATTCCAACACTCTCACGTCCAATATAAAATTCTTCATTAATTGAGTAAAGTCATATAACATCTATTTAATATTTACATTTGATATGACAAGATAGCCAATGACTGTCTGAAGAAGTTAAAACTCAGATGGAATTTGGAAAACTGGCCTTGCTCCACGAAGAAACATTAATATACTTTTTCGAAGCTATCGGGTTGCACTTTGATGTGAAATGGTTATCGAATACTCCGGTATATCATAAAAAAAAAAAGATAATTAAAATAAGAGTAATTAACTTTATTCGTTAACCAATGGATATCACTGAGAGATACAAGTTGATTTCCAATTCGTACAGGTAACTAATACCAAATATCTTACAATATTCACATGATTAACATGATGCCAATAATTAAGGTGGGGGCACTGTTATTTATTTTCATTGTCTTAGTCATCAGTGTTGGATATTATTTTATTAATTGCATTAGGTTGTTGGGAATGGACAACGAATGTCAGGCCCTAACCCACATCCAAACAAAGGGTCAGTTTTCAAGCTCCAACAGCAGCAGTGGCGAGTACAGCATCAAGTTCGCTCTTCGACCGTGTGATCCTTTCATCATCACCGTCCATTGCGTTTGCCCATATCTCCGGAATTACTTGCGCAACGTTATTCACACTCTCCACAACATAGTCTGCTCCTTTGCTTTTCACGGTCTTCCCAACCTTTTACCACCAAAACAAACGTCCATTAGACAATAACATCGTAACTTACAACTAATTTAAATAATAACTATCAGTGCTTATATGAGGGCAGTTTAGGAAATTACCAGAACAGTGTGAAGACCCATTTCTTTTCCCGCGGCGACGTTGCGCGTGCTATCATCAAGAAACAGCTGCAATAATATAACATAAATAATCAATTAAACTAAATTTGTTATATTATCCTATATTTAAGTTCGCTTATCTTGCAAAAATTAGTTGTTTGTTTCAATAATTTCTTATTAAAAAATAATCGCGCCTGATTTCTTCATATTTCACTGTCAGAAAACGACAAGTTGAAACTAAGAAGCGACGACGCGTTTCGTTCGTTGCCTTACCGAACGACGAGGATCCACTTTGGCAGTGTGGAGTGCAATCTTGAAGGCGTCAAGCGACGGTTTTAGGAGGACGGGGAATTCGTCGGGTCGGGTCGAATTGGGGAGGTTCGGGTTCATTGTCTCGAAACATACGATTTGCTCGAAACAGTCCTCGATCCCAAGCCGATCCAACACCTTCAGCGCGTGAATCCTATCCGAGTTTGTGAAAATCTAATAATAATAATAATAATTATTATTATATAAATAGAAAAATAAGAAAATAACAAAAAGTTAACGGAAGAAAATTTCCAAAAAGAACATACAAGTTTTCTTTGCTTGATGGAGCGGAGGAGGTTCCGTAACTGAATATCAGGTTGGATCGCCTCGTAAGGTAGCCTTCCGTGTACGAAACTGTTGGAAGTAAGAAGAACGAAAAGTTTAGGTTCAAACAGTGAAAAATGAAAGTGATCATGACTTGAAGATGATTTTCTCATTCTCTCTCACCCGTGGTAATCATCTGCGCTGATATCATAACCCAGTGCCTGCAAAGGAAACAGATTTCAGATTATAATTGGACACAAAATTTGGAAATGGAGGACAAGTGTTGTATTATATATACACGTACTCGCAAACCGGCGAGAGTGCTTCCGTGGGATTTGAAGAGTTCAACTCGGAGGGTAGAGGCTTGGGTCTCTGAGAATCCGCATTTCTCGATCAAAAACAGTTCGATGTTTTTCTTGACGGAGTGGTCAATTCCGGTGGTGGTCGGGTACAAGGTGTCGTCCAAATCTGCTTAATACGTTTTTGAGAAAATAAGCAGCAGTTGTTTTTGTAAATGAAAAGAAAGAGAGGACAGTACACTGACTCACCGAATAGTATGCAGTCAAAGGGAGAAGCTTCGGTGGTGATACCCATGGCTGTGGAAGAAGAAGAATGGAGTAAAATGATATGATAAGTGAGGGATAGGAAGCGAGCTTCGAGGGATTGGATAGGAGGGGAATTTATAGAGTGGAGATGACGTGGAGCTTGTGGGTTGGATAGACACTGGTGAAGCCAAGGATCGCTGACTCAGCCTTTCATATTTTAATAATATTTTATTGTTTCAAATTTTGTTCAAAAAATTTAAATAATTAAATAATATATAAATTTATTTATAATTTTGAATAAATTAATAAATTTATTTGATAAATAAAAAATATAATATTTCAAAATTATTTGTAAATAATATTTAATTTAGTTACCAATTTTTTTATTTTTATTATGAATATTTTAAATAATTATCTCACACAAAATAATTATAACAAATTTTTAATCATTTAATAGAATTAAATTGATTATATAATTAATTTTATTTTAAAAATAAATCATTTAATTAGTTAAATTATAAAATTTTAGTCAATTTATTAGTAATATGCTTCAAATTATAAACTTACAATTTGTTGTCTTATTATTTTTTTTAACTTTTCATGAAATTACTATTTGATAAATAATTATAATAATCAGTTGAAGTTATTGTCTATTATTAATTAGAGATATACAAAATTTTAAAACATAAATAAAAATTAAATTTTTTTATATTTTATTTTATTAAAAAATTTGAATATTAATTTTTTTTATTTCTCTAGTTTCAAACTTACCATTACTTTTATTTATTTATTTTTATATTTCTCTATTTTCCACACTATTAACTATTAAATTACCCTTCAAAATTTGTGACCTTGTGGGAAGACGACTAGACAGGGTCCCACACGTTAGGCGCCTTTGCTAACTGCTATACCCGCGGGGAAATAATTAAATGGACGATTATACCCCGCTCATTGCCGGATTATTCATAAAAGGCCAGTCAATACGCGGGGCTAGAAGTTTAGTGCCCAACTTAAGCACATGAGAAGCGTGCCCATTATGGTATCTCCGGGACTTCAATTTTTCTATTTTTAAATTTTTTTTTTTATAAATATAAATTAGTGCCTTAAAGGTGCTGTTAAAGAATGTGGGCTAATTTTTTTTTCATGAAATTTAATAAATTTATCTTCTTTCATTATTTTTAATGTACTTTTAATAAAATATTGTTTTTAGTTTATTTACATAACACTTGTTAAACAAGACCTAATTTTTATTCATGCATTTTAATTGAATGAGATTATACCTTATTAAATAAAATGTTTTAAAAATACATTAAATAACATTCTCGTAGCACTAACGTGTCATTTAATTGTTTAATTGATTCTAACATTTTTTTATGAAAATAATTAACACTTAAAAAATCATGCTTGAGATGCAAAATGTTTATAACACTTTTCTGAATGTCTCCTTATATCATAAACCTTTATATAATATAACATTATTAACTAATCATTTGTAATCTGTTTGTTTAAGCACGCCCTAAATTAACATTATAATGTGTTTAAATATTTTAGTTGTCTAAAATATATATAATTTTTTAATGACGTGATAAATTTGTACGCAACGAAAATAAAGTTTTCATGCAATAATTGTTGATGTTTTGTTTGTATACCAGATAGTTTTCAGATAATAAAGATAAAACTATACGGTAAATTTTAATCAGTATTTAGGGTTTTTATTATTATGTTAAGAATTGTGATTAAAAATATATATTAAATCAGTAGTGATATTTATTTCTGTAATTATAAGTATATTTTAACATATTTTGTATTTATTAAATGTTAAAACAATTAATTATATGTTTTAAAGTTTCTAAACATAAAATTAATTTTTAGTTTTTTAATTTTAACACTAAATTTAAAATTTAAACCACACACATAAATTACTTTTTATTATTAATTAAATTAAACTTGTGAAAGTGAAACCGATAATAACAGTTATGAGAGTGGCAAATGTAATAATTATAATAATTATCATAATAACAATAACTTAGTAATAGTAGTAACAACAGTTATAACAGTGGTTCAAATAACAATGTGAAACTTATAACAAAAACGGTGTTAATAGTAATAATTATAACTGAGATAGTAACAAATGTTGTGTATTTTAAAAGATACGAGTGATTAAATTAGTTATATTGTTGACTTGTGATTAGCAGTTTAAAGTTACGGAATAATATTTCTCCCCATTGCTGTGGCATCGGATAGAGAAATCCAGAGAATATATGGAGTTGGCATTGTCTAACCAATCGTCTCACGGCTTAGTGTTACAACTCAGACAGCCATAAACTTAATTGTTTCCTTTCCCGAACGTTCTAGAAAAGTTTTTCAATAAATTTATTCAAGGCAATTACGTGTTAATCCACTAAAATACCTTATTATTTTAGTTATAAAATATTATCTTCAATTATTAAATCACTTATGCTGATAAAAATTAATTAAATACTTTATTTTATTTCTTATAAAAAAAACTCAAAAGAATATCGTTCTTCTTTGCTAGAAAAGTCGAAACTCTTAAACGTGGTTTGCCTCGACATTAACGTGAATTCATGTGTCCAAACTTTAAAGCAAAATATACACTCATTTACTTAGAATAAGATGAATGTAAGTGGTATAAATATCTTTAAGATTCGATTACTTTCTTTACTTTAAAATGTGACGTTATTTTTTTTCTTATAATTTTATAAATTGAAAAAAACTAAACTTCAAGAATTAAAATTATCAAAATAAAAAATATTTACTAAAATTGATAAAAAAATATAATAATAATAATTTTTAATAAACCACTTTTACTTTCATTCTTTGACCGTTATTCCTAAATCATTATAAATTTATTAAATTTTAATTGTAATATGAAATTTAAGTATTTAAAAGTAATATTTTAATAAAAATAATATTTATTATATTTTAAAAATAAACAAAAATTTATAAACATATTATTGTTTAGTTATTTTTTACCATAAAAAGTTTAGATTAATATTTGCCAAAAGTTAAAGCAGATAAGGCTTTTGGGTAAGAACAAGCTCTCGATTCCGGTGCAGCAGTACCAGTTGGACTTTTATAGTCTTGTCTTATTGATACCCCTGCATGTTTCATGTTTGATTAATTAACAGCCGCACACCTGGCGCATGCTGATGTTCTGATGTCAGTTTATTTATAAAAAGTATTATTATTGATCTTTAAAGTTTATTTTAATTATTTTTAAAATATTCGTTATTATAACATTTTTAAAGTAGTAAGCAATTTTTAATAAAATTTCATTACTCTTAAATATTAAAAATAATTCTAAACAACACTGTTAATTTATGTATTTATGTCAGGAATTTTACTTTAGACAAAACCGGGTAATGCCAAGGAATCACTATTTAAAATTCACTGTTCACCTCCCGACATTTCTCTTTAGAAACACAAAACAAAGGTGTAAATTTCATCAAATAGAAGGGCATTTCATAACTCTTCAGGATAGGATCGAAAATTTAACAAGTAAGCAGGTAGACACTTTTAACAAAATAAAAAATATTATTATTTTTAGGATGTCTTCAAAATATTTTTCAATTGATTGATGAAGATGATTTTTTTTTTTTTAAAGAAAGATGAATCATTGAAAAAAATACTTAATTTCCATCAATACAATGCAAACTAATTATGAACTTCTCTGTAACGAGATTTCCACGTTTTTTATAACCAAAAAAATATATGAAATGTTTGTATGGCAATTTCAGCTGAACAAAGAGAGACTAGTAGGCGTTAATTAATTATGATATTAATATAATATAATTGTATAGTAATTATATCTTTATTTATTTTAATTATTCTATATTTTCATATCAGTTTATTTATTATTTTTTCTTCTCTTTAATCTTTCATTAAATACTAGGGACAGATCCACCTTTGAGATTCTGGGAGAAGTTGCTCCCACAAATATTTTGAAAAATTTTCTTTCTATATATTATTTTTTTATTCATTAAATGTAAGAAAATAATTCAAAGAGACACCTTTATGGTTTGCTCTGAAAGTTTTCTCTAAACAGTTTGTTTGTTGTTGCATACGTCACTTAGTACTGTTTTTATTACCATCATTTTTCTTAATTCAATTACATTTTGGTAAGTTTATATTTTTTAGTTTTTTTTTGCTCAATCTTTATATTTTACTTCTTTAATGTTATTATATATAGAGCATCCTCTCTTCGCATTTTATTTTTGAATATATTAAGTATATATTAACAATATAACATCTTCTCTGTTATTAGTTTTTGTTAACACTTTTGAATTGTTTAAATGAAATTAAAATTAAAAAGATTATAACTTTTTAATGACATTGAAAATGGGAAAACCATTCACAGTTTCTAAAATATGAAAACTCATAAAAAATAATTAAGATGTATATTGATATATTTTTATAATAATATGTTAGATTTTTAGTATTACAATCTCGTATTTCAAATTCATATCACAGAGGGGGGCACCTCTTGTTTCTATATTTCTTTATTACGTCTAATTCAAACATAACTAATTATTAGTGTCTGATGTTTCATATTCATAGACTGGAGAATATTGTTTCAATTAATATTAATGTGAAGAATATTGTTGATGATTTGTTAAGCATGCAAGATTACATATCTTGGATTAATTTGAAATGAGAGAAAACGTTGAGGTATGCAATAGAATAACACTAGCGGTGATACAGAACGGGAGTGTTGGGTGGTGACGAAGATGTGGCTCCAATTATGCACGAAAGAAGGTGATGGGCAATAATATAACAAAATATGACAACTAGACATCTTTCTTTTGGTATCAGATAATTGGGTTTGATAACGCAAGGATATGATGTGTTTTGTCTGAGCCAGCAAATACAACCAATTAACACAATCTTCTTTCATAAGAAAATTCATCTATCATTGATGACGCAACCACTTTGAAATATTAATTGAAAACTACTGTTTTTGTTATAATAATAAACCCAGCAGAACGTCTTTTACAAAGGTTATATATTATATGGGAATACGAGACATTCACTGTAGAAAGAATGTGGGCAACATCAAACACATCACAATCGTCTCAAAAATTATACAAGTCAAACAATCAGAGTTATGGAACCAGATATTAACCTCGATATTCAATTATTTCATGTAATTTCTCATTTTCCCTGATTCAGAATTCTCAGCATTTCTAAGAGTTAAATGAGATATAAGCTAGGTTTGAAAAAGTAATAAAACTGTCTAGTATTATGAGTATTGTATAAATATCGTTAGTGTTTTTTTATGACGTTATTTAATATTTATTTTTATTATACAAATTATGGAGGTGAAATTCTAATTCTAATATATAATATATAGTACTACACTTAAATTTTGCTTGTAAAAAAATTATAAAATTAATTTATGGCTCATAAATAAACTATCAGCTTATTTAGTAAAGAAATAACACTAATCTTAAGCTTAAATTTACTCAATAACTCAAGTTTTGGTCCAAATTTGGATAGCCTGGTTAACTCATTGACTCGTTTATATAAGTTCTGTTTTTTTTTTCATGATTTTCATTAAATAATTAAAAAACTGAAAATATAAATATATTGCATTAAAAAATCTTAAAGAAACAGTCCAAGTCAGTCGTCGAAAATATTTGGGCTACCTTTTTAAAAATCTGGAAATCTGGAAAGAGAGAGCTTGCAAAATGGCTCGTCCACTTACTTGAAGCTTGGCGAATCATCTCCTTTGTAAACTGTTTGGTATACGTGTAAAATAGAATATAAACTTTATCGAGAAAATATTACAGAATCGAATGACTTTATGGCTTCGGCAAACTTTTACATTCGTGTTTGACGCTGCATCCTACTTGGGAAACAGAAACAAGCTACCTGGTTTTAAGGCTTAATTGTCTGCGTGCTTGATGTTGATTAAGTTATAATCTTGGACTCCACTTGAATATTTCCTTTAAAAGAAACTAAGAAATTATCATTTTTCTCTGAAATTACAGATGAAATAATTAATAAAAAAAAACTGAGAAGTATCGGGGAGAAAGGTAATGAGTAATAGTAGCTCAAAACCGTGATGTTTTTCTTCGATCTGTTAAGCATTTGAGATTCAGAATATTGGTAAGATCCGTAGACAGTGTAAGCATATTGATTAAGAAGCAGAAAGAGGACCCGTTTGTAGCCCATTCATATATCATGTAAGCCTTTTTCATGTGAAGTACACACCAAAAGTAAAAAGAAAAGAACAAGGGAAATACATAAGATGAAAGAAAATCTTGAAAGCCTTTTCACTTGCGTTGTGTGTCCTTTTTTGCATTACTTTTTTGTTTCACTTCTCAAGCTTGGCTATGCGTGCTTGCCATGGCCGTATATGAACCTAGCAGATTCCTCTGTGTATACATGAGTTTCATTGTCCAGCCTGTCAATAGTATCAAAAGTCTGTCAAGAAAAGAACATTGCTGAGGAACAAAAACAACTGCACCAAGCGTTTCACTTACGACTTGCGAACAGTTTTGCTCAAAGTTGATGCTGATGAGAATGTTTTTCCATCAAGATATCTATTTTCACCCATTATCCTGTGCCTCATTCTCAGATCTAGCTCTTCTGCATTCAGGTCTAATGGAGAATCGGAAGCCTGTTATATTCCAAGAGAAAAAAAAATCTTAGCATTAAGGAATGAGGTACTCTGATTTTCTATTTTCTAGTATGCAAAAATTATTTTAAGATACGTTTCTTGTAAAGAAAAGAACTTTCCAATTGTTGAACTTTATTTTTTCTTGGGACCCTTTTTTTGGTACATACCTTAACATGCATAAAAAATAGTACTAAACAAGAACTGAAATTAACTATCAGTAATATTTACCATGACCCATCCCCAAATATCAGCATAGGATGGGATATGAGCTGAATAAGGCACAACATCTGGAAACAAAAGGAAAAAAAAAGGTTAATTTGATGTTAATTGATGTCAACAGCATTATATAGAACCGGTAAAAACATATTTAGAAAAAAGAAATATTTTCTTTTCCCTCGGAAGGTCACTTACACTTGAAAACTTGTCTCAAGGTGTTGTAGATACACGAGAACACTTCCGTGTGGCTAAATATTCCAGCTGGTCCTGCCTGTATAAGAATTCAATACTCAGGTTATTTAATTATTTAATATTTTTTTTTATAGTTATTTGACACGTATTGACACAGGTCCTTGCACCCATATATACCTGTGTCACAAATATGCCACCTTGCTTCAGTCTAGACTTGACAATGAATTCATAGAAGGACTTGGTGTAAAGTTTATAACAAGGACCACCATCAATTGGGTCTGCCAAGTCGCCAATTATCACATCATAGCTCTCATCTCTGGCTTCTAGCTCAGCCCTGCAACATGACACATAATAATAGGAACTTAGTGGCATATATAATTAAAGAATGGCACAACTAGCACAGGAAATTATTTCATTATCCAACCTGGCATCATTGATGATGACCTCAAGTCTCGGATCACGGAATGCTTCCTTGTTCACAACTAGGTATGATTTGCAGAAGTTCACCACCTCCTGCTCCAGCAAGTACGAAGACATGGATTTTAATTGGTCAATTAGCCCCACGGAATATGAATATAGAATGAAGAGCTAACATTGTACTAAAGGAGATTTTACCTCATCAATGTCACACATTACAACTTTGTCTATGGTCTTATGCCTAAGCAATTCTCTTGCAGTAGACCCTTCTCCTCCTCCCATAATGAAGACATTCTTTGGGCTGAAACATGGCATACAAAAAGATAATGAAAGGAAAAAAAAAAAAAAACGCTATCTACATCTCAACATATCTTTGATGGTTAGACAGCAAAGGAGTTACTTAGGTTGGTGAAGAAGAGCTGGATGAACAAGACATTCATGGTAGATAAATTCATCTGTCTCTGCACTCTGAAGCTTTCCATCAATTACCAAAGCCTGCAAAAGGGCACAGACAGTAGAGCATATAGCAGATAAGAGGATTGTTTAATTTAGTTTCTGATCTGTAAAGGTAACTTTCTGTTGTTTAAGTATGTGAACCTTTCCAAAGGGCTTTGTGTCCAACAATGCAATGTCTTGGTACTGGCTAGCTCCTGTATGCAATATGCTGCAATCGCACCAAAAGATAGAAGGAAAAAGAAGGATAAATAATACTTACAAATTGTGAGTAACACATGAATAACACCTACAAGTACAATTTTTTTTAACTTCAACAAATAGAAAGAAAAAATGCTGCCAAATTATTAAAAAAACCCGTGTTACAATAGCATCTATAATATCAAACAGACAATAGTGCTGGATTATGCAATGAAAAAGCCGAGTCTTATTTTCATTTTAGTTATGTGTTGTCTGCCTTTTTCATGGACACAGGCAAAAAGAGCCTATGACTTTTTAGGATCCCTTTACTTTTTTTCTAGCATGAGAAGCTGGAATTGTTAAAATGTCCGTGATATACACCCAAGAAAACATTAGACATTGGCGCAGACAACTCGTACTGTATATTTTTGTCTCACTCAAACCCCAATAAAAGTTCTTGCTTCTTTTACCTTCTTGTTTTGTGGCTTTATTCCTTCCATGAATCTTCTTAAATCATCATTAAGTAAAAGAAATAATAATTAATAATAAGATGAACATGGAAAGGCCAAAAGAGCAGTCAAAGGAAGAAAATGCAACTGGGCGAGATATTTTTTGGTTTTATAGTCAACAAGAAGTAATAAATATGCAGAACATCGATTTGGAGTTTTGGACAATCTAATGGAACCAAAACTTTAACGTTAAACAGTTAAGCAAAATAGTAATATGATATTACAACAAACTACTATAGTTGATATCTGATATGCTACTTACTTCAGGTTGGCACAGAATACAAAAAAAAAAAGAAGGGGTATATGTACGTACCTGTTGAGAGCAAAGCACCATCTTAAGTCCTCTTCGATCTCTTCTTCATACCAACAACTCTTCCTGTAACCATTCAGAGAATGGGTTTGGCCATTGCTAATCCCATTTGGGAGAGCTATTTCACCCATCTTTTTTTTTGCAACTTAGAACCTTGAAAGTTATTTGAGGAAGGGTTGGAAAGAGAGCTAAAGCAGAGAAAAGATAGCTATAGAAGTGTTGTGAATAGGATAGGAGAATGAGAGGAGAATATAAGGAGTTAAAGATGCAGGAAAACAAAAGGAACAATGATTCGGGTTAGGAGTGTGTAGCTAGCATTACTCAACCAAATCTAGCAAAGTGGACATACTCAATACATGAAAAGAGCAATATCCTCATAGGGTTTCGTAAAGTGGAATACATATAAGCTTCGGTGGTTTTCTGAGGTTGATTTGATATACTTAGCTCAATATCTTTGTTACGCAGTAGCATCTAGCATGTGCATGCTGATGCAGTAAACTAACAACAATCCGTAGTCAAATTAAAACATACGTAAAAAGGACTAGCTTTTGGTTATAGTTTCATGGCAAAAGAAAAATGTCCAATTAACTTTACCTATGTGAATTGGTGGGGCGTAAAGATAGATTTCATTTGCATTGATCATATTAATATTTGGCTAATAAGGTTCATTAAAAGAGGGGCGGAGCTACCTTCTTGTTAATTTTTCATCTTTTAATATGTAACTTTTTTCATTTGTTAAATGATAAACCATGTAACTTCTAAAATATTAAATTAATTTTAAAGGTTAATACTAAATGAAATCGTTAAACCATGCATTGGACCACATGCATTTAGATACCTTGGAACAAAGTTTAATAATGACATGCGAAAAATATGACCTGTGGTAGAATAGATTCTCCAATCCACTCAACATCCATAACCAAACTTAGACGGAGCTTTTTCCAATGAAAATTTTTAACGGAGTTCTGAAGTTTAGGTTGGTAATTATTTTTCTATTTTTATAAGAAGTATATATTATATTTAAAAATATTTATAATATTAAGCAGTTAAATTGATAAATTTTATGTTAATTAGTTAAATAAAACTACTTTTATAAAAACTGATAAAGGCTTATTAACACAATTTTCACTATAAATAAATTAATATATCTTAAAATAAGTTCATACTTTTTATAATTAAGATAAAAAATATAATAACAATTATTAGCTAAAAATAAAAATTTAAAATTTAAAAAATATTAATCTCAATCTTTAAAATTGAATTCAAGCATGTAGTAATTATAAATATTTATTAAAAAATATTTATTATACTTTATTTTTTAATATAATAATATATTTTTTTGGCAAAAATTTATTAATTTGGATATTTAACTTAATTTTAAAAGTTGAGGTTAATAAAATTTAAAATATATTAAAAATTATACGAAGATATATTTAAAATTACAAAAAACATTAATAATATTTTTATTAAAACATTTTTTCTTTCATTGTTTAACAATTAACTCAAACCATTTAATATCTGCCAAAAGTTTAAGCATATAAGGATTTTGGGTAAGAACAATCTCCCGATTCCCATGCAGCAGTACCAACTGGACTATATAGTATTGATGCCGATTCATATTTGATAAATTAACAGCCAACACTTGGCGCTTGCTTTTGTTTTGATGTCAATTTATTTATATAAAGTATTATTCAGTCTTTAAGGTTAATTTCAATTATTTTAAAAAATATTTTAGAAATATATAAAAATTTAAAATATATTATTATATATTTTTAATAAACTCTAATTGTTTTTAAATATTTAAAATTAATTCTAAAAAATAAAGTTAATTTATTTATTTATGTCCGGAATTTTACTTCAGAAAAATTTGGGTAATGTCAAGGAATTGTTATTTAAAATTCACCTTCCTCAGTTTACTCTTCAGAAACAAAAAAGGAGTAAATTTCATCGAATATAAGGGCATTTCATAACTCTTCAGGATAGGATAGAAAATTTATCAAGCAATTAGCAGTTAGACACTTTTAACAAAAAAATTCATATATATAAAATCAGAAATTGAACTCTTCCGTAATAGGATTTTCATGTTTTTTATAAAGAAAAAACTAAACTTATGAAATGATTGTATCACAAATTTTTTATTTTATTTCTATTATATCAAAATACATATTTTTTCTCTTCCTATCTTTCACTAGATAAATATATTTAACAAGTGTATAAATATACTTTTCATTGGTGTAGGGGGCGTAAGACTTCGTTATTCAATTGCCCTGACCGACTTGTTTGGATAGATATAAAAATGAAAACAAATATTAATTTTCTATTCTTTAGATAAATAAAAATAAAAAAAGTTAAAACCAAGAAATGAGACTCACAATGAAAAAAATTCCCTTAAAAGAAAACGTTTGTATTTTACCTACTTTAAAGTATGTACGTTATATTGGATCTTATTAGGAGTAATAAGTTGTATTCTCATTAATAATATTAATGAATTTGAATCCAAATTAAGTTTTATATTGTGAATAATCTTAGCTTTTTTTTTTAATTTTTAATTTATGTTTTTTTTTATAAAAGCAAGACATTATAAAATTTAATTAAGCTTAATATATTAACTTGAAATTTTTTATCTATATATTTGGTCTCTTCAACAAGATTTTCCTAACTTTTCCCTTGCACTAAAAGACGTATTAGAAATATACTTAGTAGAACAACCATATAAATGATCGATAAATTTTCGGTTGGCTGCCAAAAATTTGACATGATTTTTCTCTTTACTCAGGTTTGGAGCCGTAGGCATAGTTAGCAATTTTCTTAAATACACAAGATGATTTTGTGGGCAATTAAAACAAAATTTGTAAAATACATGTGATAAGTTTATTTTATGAACTTATCTTATTTTTCTCTATGATATAAATTTTATTACGTAAAAAGAGTTTGGATTATAAATAGACAAAGTAAAATAACATGTTGTGTTTATGTAGTTTGTTTATCTTAACCTGCATTAAGTGATAAATAAAATAAGAGCTTATCATGATATTATTCATCTCTCATATCTCATTTTTTAAGATAAAATTTATGTGTTGCTTTATAAATATTAGTTATTAATTAAAATTAAAAATTTATTTTTATAAAATAATTATATTTAACATTAATTTTGCATATTATCAAAATAAAACTCTTATTTTGATTAATAAACAGCATTTAAAAAAGTCACTTATTTTTTTTCCTACTCTATTATGTCGATTAAATCAGTAAAAAGAAAAGTGAATTTACATAATTAATGTGACACGCATGCATGGTGCACAGAAAAACTTTTACTTACAAACTTTACGGGCAGCTAAGGAATTTCTCCAGAGTACATGTACATGGCATGCATGATTATATTTAATGATGTTATTGCTCCAAAGTTGTCACATTGGAGATTGTTGTGTATTGTAATATAATAAAAAAAGGGTAAGAGGTGATGATTGTGGAGTGACAATTACCGAAAATTCTGGTAATTCTTTTTCCTTCTGAAATGTGTGCAAAACTCTTGGGTTTGTGAGAGGAAGACAGAAAGAGAAGAAAGCGTGCAGTGGAGTCAATCATGTTTATTCTCTTTGTTCTTCAAAAAGCTATGGAAGAGAACTGCGCGTGACTTACCATAAGGACTCATCATCACTGTCACCATCAAAGGCAACCCTCCAAACTAAGAAATTTAATTTCAACCCCACCATTACCAACAAAAATGAACCACTATTTCCTTCCTTCAATCACCCTACACGAGATACCCTTTGTTGTCTGCAGTAAGAGGTTTGTTCTGCACCTTTAAACACATTTCGCATTAACTACAATATTAAAAAGATGGTTAAGGTTAGAGATAGCTATGTTACATTAAAACACATTAAAAGTTATAAAAAAATTATCCTTATTAATAACACATTTTGACAAATTTTTTAACCAGATTAACATTTGTCTTTAAAAAAAATAATAATCAAGTATTTCTCCCTAGCTTTTAATGATCCACTTTGTGGGTCCTACAAGGGGGGGGGGGGGAGGGGTTTTTTTTGCTGTTGATGTAAGATTGGCATCAGCATAATGTTTCCACTGTTTCCACATACACATTAATGAGGACAAGGGGGGGCTTAAGGGGAGACACTGTTGCTCATGCTGGCCAACCATGAGTTCAAAGAAATCATCCTTGGTTGGGGTTATGGGGGAGCTATGATGAACTCAATGTCCTCGTGTGTTAAGTTATTATGCTTCCACAACTAAATATTAACACTTGGAGATAATATTTTTTGTTTTTTTAGTGTGTTTTTGATATATGTATATAAAAAAATGCAAAATAATTAGAGATAAAAATGATTATATACAATATTACATATAATATTAAATTTAATAGTTCAAATAATAGAATTATGTTTAGGAAATGTAACTTGAACATCTCTCGCAAACTAATGTAGTTTAAGAGTGTGAGCAAATACATATCTATCCATAAACTTGATTAATTCAATTCAAACCAATATAAATTAACATGATGAATTAGATAAATGATCAAATTAGTTTGAATTTAAAATTTTAAAATTATATTTAGTTTGGTTTTGTAACAAATTGTCAATGCTACCGTCTTTTAACCTCTGAAGACCATTACTTTATTGGTGCGTTCATTCATAATTACACATTTGTTGGCAAAATATTCTTCATGTTCAATCTTTGACCTTCAATACCTAACACGTCCTCCTCTTTATTTGTATTCATGTTTTTACTTGTTATCCAAACATAGTCAAAGTTATAACCTTTCAATATCATTAGTTGTCCATGTTCAAAGTTTTTACCGTTGAATTTCTAACCTCAAAACTATGTAATAGAAATAAATCTCATCAAAAGAGCATAATTCATAGTTTATGTGACTATTAATGATATAATTTTTAGCGATTTTATTACATTTGACTATATTGAAGCATTACTTCTTTTTATATATATATATATATCACCAAAAAAAAAGGCAGACCAGCTATAGAATGGATCGATCTTTTCTTCGAACATCTTTCTCCATGCAACCAAGCCAAATACTTTCATCAATTCTTCTATATTCATGCCTACGTGCAATATTTATTAAATATGTCAACAAATTCCTTATTCTTATTTGTTT